CCCACGCAAGATGATCAAGTGGATCGTGGGCGGCCAGCCGCGAATGGCACTGTTTGCGGGAGACGCGCCCATCATGACTGGCGACGAATTGACCTACGACTACAACTTCGACCCTTTCAGCGCTAAGAACGTTCAAACCTGTCTGTGTGGCGAGGCGGAGTGTCGCGGTGTGCTGGGTCCCAAACCCAAGGGACCCAAGCCGGTCAAGGCTGAGAAAACAGACGGCAAGGCTAGTCTGAAGAAGAAGAAGAAGGCCAAGGCTACAAAACCTGACGCCAAAACAACCCCGAAATCTGCAGCAAAGGCCCTCAAGAGCCCTGCCAAGCTGAAGGCGAAGGCACAGACACCGAAAGCGAACCTGAAGGAGACTGTCAAAAGCGTTGTCAAGCTCGGGAAGCGCAAGCTTGAGGAGCTCGCCGGAGATGACACAGCCAACGCGATGGCGAAGAAACGAAAGATCAAATCTCCCAAGGGCACGAAACAGAGCGCAAAACGTAGCTTCTCCAACGCCAGCACCAAGGTTGTCCAGGCGGCAGCGAAAGGCGCCGCCACGGTGAAGAAGAGTGTCTCAACGATTACTGTGAACGCCAAGTCAACACCTGTCGCGAAGAAGACAACGTCTTCCAAGGTGACTACTGTTCGCACATCCAGCTCAGGCCGTGTCATCAAGGCGACAAAGAAGCGCGACTCCCTTCTGCAGACGACCTTGTCACCCAATTCGACAATTATCGCAGCCAGAGCTGAAGGCGGCAAGTTCAAGGCTGCCGACAAGGACAGCTTGAAGACGCCGAACAAAACGAAGAGACCGGCCACTCCGAAGAGTCTCAAAAGCGCTGTCAAGTCCCCCCGCAAAGCGCTGGATCTACCGCGCGTGAAATCGCAGATTCGCTTGGTGAGCCCCGAGGCGAGCAGCATCACTGCCCTCGTGTCCCCCTCGATGGCCTGAGGCCTTCCGTAGGTGACGGTTGTGCTGCAAGTGAGAAGGAGATGAGGCGCGGAAAGACGGGAGCGGCGGAGTTGAGGATCCGATGTTTTTGCTATGGCGCCCGGCCTTGGTTGTCCTGCGGTAGGTTACAAGAGGCGAATGGAGTAATATCGATTGTGCATTTGCAACTAGTGGGCACCCGCACGTACCCTCAGCAGCTCTACCAGGATTGTCATTTATTCAACATATTCTTTCTCATCTCCACCGCATTGAAGAGGTGGCCCGAAACAACGAGCATGTGCATTACTCCCTAGACTGTTTACAGTGGGGTTCTACCGTGACTGTCACTAACCAGCTAAACAACAGTAGCAACGACAGGAACAGGGCGCAAGGAACTGGCTATGTGAACAGACAGGCGGACCGCATCCCAGACCTGGGCTACGATGTAAAACATGCAATGGGACGTGATGACCATGCACCGACAGCTGTGGAGGAAGCTCACGTCTTCGCAAGGCAGCGAGCCCTTCACAGACAATCATCGCGATTCACCTGTCTTTCTGAGGCTTTGCTTCTCCACCAGCCTGATATTGCCCGCCCTGACATGGGCAGCGGATTTGAGAGGTTGGCTGTCATGTGTTTGACCGAGATCGTGTGTCGCTCACCGCCTTTGTTGGATACTCCTTCCACCTGGCCACCACTTGGTTCGGGCGTGGTCAGGTGCGCTCGCGCGCCGGACGGGAAAAGGGCGGGGAGCTTGCTGTGTTGCACTTTGTGCGGGCTCTACGGTTCCAAATAAAAAAATCAGTGAGGAGTACGGGGAGAGGCTGTGCTACGCGGGAGTTGCTTCAGCCTGAAGGACAGTCGAAGGGAAATTCATTGGCGTGGAGAGCTTCCACGGGCGTGGCTGAGCTGCGACTTGCAAACGACAGTCGTAACTGTTTGAAAGGGCAGAAATTGGACTTGAATGCTTCCATTGCGCACCGGGGTCGGATCGAGCACAGCATTGCGACGGGAGCGGTCGGCGCATTCTTTCGTAGCGGGTGCGTGTGGGAGTGCCAAGAAGCCTGGTGGACTCGGTTCGCCAAGCGTCGGGGGGAGGCAGTTTGTCGCCTCGACGGAATTGGTGATGGGGGGCCAAGCTTGACCAGTGACATTTCCGAAAATACAAGAGAAACGTGATAACACCACCGCATGGCTTTGTGACTTGATATTGTGTCATTATTTGAATATCAGGGCATGTTTGTGTACAACATCCACGGCGGTGGGCCAGAGAACGTACAAGCTGTCCGCGGCCTAGACGTGGACCGTTAGGCACCCAGTCAGCGGCAGGCAAATGGGCACTTGGTCTTGAACTTTCGATTGGCCTCGATAACGAGGATCGTTCGCATTCCCAAGCTCATCAACTTGCACACGCCGGGCAGGAGAGTGGAAGGGGGGTTGGGGTTGGGGTTGCTTATACATTTGAATGCCGACTTGCTTCTGAGCTTGAGCATGACCAAGGGAGAAACAGGGTAGACGCGAGACATCGCCATCCACTCGAAGCCGTCGTATGGCTTACTCTTACTGCTTGTCGACTGTGCACACAACATTACCTTTGGTACCTGAGTTCAACATGCTTATACCATTTCGATCCCAGCAATGACGAAAGAGAGGTGGACAGAAGACCCAAGTTAATCTTCACCAATCAGGCGCCGCTACAGAGTGTGCAATCAAGGGCCTTCCTTCGTTGGCGACAGCAAGTCGCGTGTCACAAGCTCCTTTCCAAGGCGGTCTAACTTCTTCAGTCGTGCAACCGAAGAAAAAACGGTTCCAAAGGACTTCCTCCGCTCTGCATTGATTCCTCTGGCAAGCAAGAGGCAGCCGCTCAGCCACGATTGCCTTAGGCAAGTGTGTCACGGGTCATAACGTCGGTGGGTCTCGGTGAGCAGGGAAAACACGTCCCAAGCCCCTTGATGAACCCGACATGGCGAATAAACATGCGAGTGTTGCGCAAAAAACTGTTTTATTCCCCAGAAACTGAAATGAACCTGCAGGTGTCCACTGGAGCGAGACTGGGTAAGTCTATCAAAATCGAAAGGTAACGAGCGTCTGATCACCAGTGATCAAGGTCCTGGTCGGGGCAGGTGTCTAGCTTAACAGTACTCAACCCCTTCCAACTGTGAGCGAAAACAAGACTAAAGAAAGAGCAGAAATGGTGGTAAGGTCCTGCTATGATAAATCGAAGCTGTGCCGAGTCCTCTTCTGCTTGACGGTATGACGGACGCGACATGGCCATGCGAGAAGATTGGCTTCGAGAGACTCATAGTGCCTATGTTGACGTTTTGTTGGCGCAGTTCATCTGCCATGGAGGAACTGAGAACTGCCGCACCTGGATCTTGTCAGTTGTAATATTGGAAGGTAAGTGACTAATTGAACTCACGTATGGCGGCGCGTGAATGGTAACACCAGCGAGTCCATACTCTCGTGCCTGAGGTTTGAGACCGTCTTAACGCCTGTGCATGCAGTATGGGCAAACAATATCGTAAGTGCAGCTCAGGTTCCTGCCGTTATCGCAGTTGGTCTGTAAAAAGTTCATCAGCGAAAACACTTGCATGGATCATGCATGAGCATAGGCTGAACCCACGCAGTTCCAGGTCATGATGAGGTCTGGGGGTTGAGACGATCTTTGGTTGTGCTTTGGTAGTCTCGGATTCTGAGTTTGTAGTAAAGTCTTCTGAATTGCCTCGACAGTGTACTGATGATCTATAAAATTCAAAGACTATGCCGATGAAGACATCGAGTTGTTTTATAAATTTTCTCGGCCATCTCGCGATTGAAATTGGTCGCAAAGGCGTCATGGTATTCGAATGGAAAGCCTCAAGGTTGGAATCCTTGACTGCCCGAAGACACATAACCTGTACCAATGCCATACCAATGACACTATGTCGAACCGCTCAACGGGGCCAGATATCAAGCCTCACATTTGCAGTCGGTGTGCAATTTCTCGAGGCGAAAGCAGTTTCCGTGGGAGGGATCCATAGATTTGCCGGCGCTTCGTCGCCGAGAGTCTGAACAATACCCACGTCCCTGTGATTGAGGCCAACCTTGCCCTGAGGCGTTGGACAAACCTCAACCAAACACAGCTTTGCCATCGCAAAGAAGGTTGAATCTTGTCGCCCTACTAGGCCGAATCGCAGGCAGGAAGGGGGGAATCTGGGGGTTGACATAGCTCCGTGCGCAGCTTTCAGGGCCCGAACATCGTCGGTGTCTTCCATCATGCCTCGGCCACGGGAAAGCAAGGCGGAACGACGATGAAGAGTTCCCAACAAGTTGCCCAGCACGTCTCTCACCGTCCCATGCTCGCCGCGACGAAACTCGGCAGCTTTAGGGCGGCGAAGCCTCAAGCCCCCTTCTCCTGAGTGAAACGTGCACTTGCGGCTCAACGAAATCTGAGCTCGGGTCAGTATCGTGCGGGAAAAAAGGGGGATGCTGGGCTCTTGATGTCAGGGAGCATGACACGGTCTGCCGCAGGAAATCTTACCGCTTTCATCCAAGCATATCCTTGAATGCACAGTGGAGAGTTGGAATATTGGCCCATCTGAACCAAGAACTACTTTGCTTCGCACACCGCCCTAGTGTGTGAGCCTCTCTCGCACCACGCTGAACAGAGCCGCATGCGCCCCAGCCTTGCCCGATTGGAGGACCCTGGCTTCCAGCGCCTCTTTCATCCTGTGACTTTGCATCCAACCTGTCGTGATTCAATAAAAGTATTGAGAATAAATCGCCGAGCCAAATAATAATAATAATAATAAGACTAGTTGGAACCGCGTCCTTGAAGCAGGGCGGGCTCACTCTGTGAAGGTGGATAGGTCGTCTCGTGGAGGAGTCATGACGTCAATACGACCTAATAAGGTACCTACGGTGGGTATGTAATTATTTGAAGCTCCTGCTTTGTTCGGTAGTAGGCTGTGTGAACGACCTTGCGCCTCGCCCGAGACATGAGGCTATCATGGAGCGCAAAAGGGGCAGGCGAGTAAGGTTCCGCTGAGGTTCGGTTAAGCGTCATGTGTTCGCTCTTCTGGAGGAAAGGCCGGGCCTTAAGCTCCATGTCTGGCAGCAGCAAAGACCCGGGCACCGAATACAGTCTAGGTCTTCCACCGGAGCGGCCCCGTACGCATTTACCATGCCGCTGCACAGCATCTGAGTTTCTCCGGGGATAGTGACGTGAACCACTCGTCTCCTTCAAGGTAAATGATGAAGGATGCTCAGATCAGAGTAAGATATGTGCAGAGTCGGGGTCGTCGTGGTCATTGCTGGGCCACTGGTTGGGCATGAACCACGCCTTAGTCATCAGTAATCTCTCTCGAATGGCAGGTTGCCATCTGATGATGCTTCGCCCAGACCTCATCTGCCCCGTCCGCGTCAGCAATGCGACCGACGTTCCCCTACCAATATTAGTATTGTGTGGGAACCCTGCAGATTCCTTCACCCTCGATCCGATTCATTTCTGAACACGACCACGATGCCATGCCATTTCTAGTCCTGGCGTTCCGAAAGCCATGTCGCGACACAACACTCGATCCTAGGTAGTAACCACAGCGAGCGCGACGCCGACACCATACTGCCTCCACCATAGACGCCACGCGTCTCACGGGATGCACTGCCTGCTACCATGACAGAATCGCAAGAGAGTCATAAAGCCATCGCTAGATGGACAAGCCGGGTCATCCCGGCCATCCTTGCCGGTGTTCTTGGTTATGCGACGTACGTTGTCGTATCGCGACTCTGCAGTACGTCCTCCAAAGCAAGCCTATTCTAACTGCGCACTAATGGACGAAACCGAAGTTGAATATTTATTGAAAGAGAGGGGAGAAACTGGCACCGTCATTGCCGTCTTGCTTCTCTATTTTCTTTTCCTCTTCTTGTCCTTGGTGACATACATCCGGACGATATGGACCATCAACACCGACACTGGACTTGTACCACTCGGCCTAGAGGCTCAGAGAGCCGAGACCGGAGTAGAAAAATCAATAACGAAGGGAGGCAAACGATCGGGACGGCGCGCTGATGATATTGAATCCCAACCCTATCAGCCAGGCCCCGATCAAGACCCGGACAGCCCGGGACTGGAGAGGTTCTACAGCAAAAACGCGTTCATCTGTGAGAACGATGGCCGACCCAAGTGGTGCTCAGAATGTCGCAACTGGAAGCCAGATCGTGCGCATCACTCCAGCGAGATTGGCCGGTGTGTACTGAAGATGGACCACTACTGTCCATGGGTTGGTGGGATGGTTTCCGAGACTTGTAGGTTTCATTGAATCCCCTTTTGCCTGGCCCTCAAAGGTCTGGTCTGACATTGGCTAGCATTCAAATTCTTCTCCCAGTTTACCTGCTACTGTGCGGCCATGTGTGCTGTTGTGCTATCAACGGCAGCATATTGTCTGGCCAAACAACAACAAGAGGGACGATCTCTGGACGGGCAGGTCGTCGCGGTCATCGCACTCTCCGCCTTTTTCGGCCTCTTTACCTTCACCATGACGATGACATCGTGGTATTACGTCTTTCTTAACGTTACTAATATCGACATGCTTAAGAAGGCATGGGTTTATCAGGTGGCTGTTCGCGTGCCGCGCGGGACTCCATCCAGCCAGCACTTTTCAACCGTCACATATCCTTTGGCCAAACACAGCGAAACACCAAGCAGTCAAAGTAGCGGGGGCACCATTTTGCCAAGGTCGTCTGCGTCGCACTCTGGTGAGCAGCAATTGTCAGCGAGAGACCTTGCTGCGACACGAACATTCGCCATACTGCGTACAGAGCCCGATGAGAATCCGTGGGACCTCGGATGGAAGGAGAATTGGAAGCAGGTCATGGGAAATAATATCATAGACTGGCTGCTTCCCATTCGGAAATCACCTTGTGCGCTTCACGAGAACGCGGACAGTGATTACCCCATGGGTCATGTACTGCAATCACTGGCAAAACGGAACGGAATCCCAACCTTGGCGGATGAAGAGGGTAGCCTCACAGAAATGTACGAGGTAAGGAGCGCTCAACGAGGGAGTTGAAATCACGAAGATACCCAGTCATTCGACACGAGGCAACGCAGCGTCAGGTTTGGATGCACACGTGTAATTCCTTTTGCGTGTGTTGGGCAAGGATGACACGGCGAGACCAAACAAAACTCCACCACTAGATAATTCTTAATGATCAGCCTCTATTTTTAACACTATTCACCCAGAGTGTCAATTTTTCGTGGGCACATTGTTCAAGTAACCAAGAGAGGTTGCCTACCTAGAATCACTTCCTTGCCAATTCCATTGTGACAGTCATGACGTTTGGAGGCGCCCTTTTCTAGCGCGCTTATGTAACCACCAGGCAACACCACAAGACAGACCCGCGTTCGCGTCTCAACCTCCATATCAGAACACTTCATCCCAATGGCGTTGTTTCCGGCCTCACACGACTACCTAGCGATTACATTGTCAGACTCGAGATGATCCCTGCAGACTGCAGGCCTAGCTCAAGTACTGGAAATTCTTGACATGCAGCCGTGACCTATCCAGACCATGACGACCTCTTCACCACAGTTTCGCGAGTCGTCGCCCCTGATGGGCACGAGGAGCCCGAAATCCCAGTTCACTTATCGACAGCTCTCACTTCTCGCCTCATATGCCGTATCTAGTCCGCTACGGGTCATCGCTCACATTGACCTCGATGCATTCTATGCCCAGTGTGAGATGGTGCGCCTGGACACCCCAGAGGACCAGCCCCTGGCCGTGCAGCAGTGGTATGTCGAGCCAAGGATGCCATACATTTTTTCTCCCTTTTTTTCTCTCATGAAACGCGCGCTTCATGATGACCGAACTGACATGATCAGGCAAGGTTTGATTGCCATCAACTACCCTGCGCGTAGCTTTGGCATTGGAAGGCACTGCACCCTTGCAGAAGCGAGGAAGTTGTGCCCAGACCTGATCGCACAGCACGTGGCCACATGGCGCGAGGGCGACGACAAGTGGGCGTATCGTGACGATGCCGCCGCCAACATTACGAGCGACAAGGTGTCGCTCGATCCCTATCGGTTGCAGTCGAGAAAGATCCTGGCACTCATCAAAGAAACACTACCATCTGACCTCCAAAAGGTTGAGAAAGCAAGCATCGATGAGGTGTTCTGTGACCTGTCGTCCCACGTCCATTCAATCCTGCTCGAGCGCTTTCCCGAGCTGAATAATCCGCCGCCATATGATGACCCGACGGAGAGGCTACCTCGGCCCGCCGGTTGTCGCGCTCGACTGGCAAGCAGACGCCTTGATTGACCTAGACGAGGACGCGGAGAACCAGGACCCTGACTGGGACGACGTGGCAATACTGATTGGGTCCGAGATTATCCGGGGTGTCCGCGCACGCATTCACGAAGTCCTGCATTACACTTGTTCCGCCGGCATAGCGAATAACAAGATGCTCAGCAAGTTGGGCTCGGCCCACAAGAAGCCCAACCAACAGACTGTGATACGCAACCGCGCCGTCCAACAGTTTCTTTCCGACTTCAAATTCACCAAGATCCGCAACCTGGGTGGCAAGCTTGGTGATACCATCGTCAACACGTTCAACACGGACACCGTCAAAGATCTCCTGCCGACCCCACTGGATCAGATGAAGGCGAGACTGGGGGACGAGACGGGTATCTGGGTTTACAACACGATTCGTGGCATTGACCAGAGCGAGGTCAACTCTCGAACCCAGATCAAATCAATGCTGTCCGCCAAATCATTCCGCCCCTCCATTCACACACCAGACCAAGGGAATCGTTGGCTGCGAATCTTTGTCGCTGACATCTTTTCCCGATTGGTCGAGGAGGGTGTGCTCGAAAACAAACGCAGGCCAAAGACGATAAACCTGCACCATAGACACGGTGGCCAAATGAAGTCACGTCAAGGGCCAATACCTCAAGGGAAGCCCATTGATGAGCAAGGTCTGTTCGATCTTGCGAGAAACCTATTGCAGCAGATTGTCGCGGAGGGCAAAGTCTGGCCCTGCGAGAATCTCAGCCTAAGTGTTGGTGGCTTCGAAGATGGCATCACCGGAAACATGGGAATCGGCGCTTTTCTGGTAAAGGGAGCTGAAGCTCAGGCCTTGAGGCAGGCGTCGAACACCTCGACTCACATGTCCCCGTCTGAGGTACCAGCTGCCAAGAAACGCCGCCTGGCTAGTGACGGCGGCATACACAAATTCTTGACCCGAAGCGTCTCTATAGACGAAGATGTGGCCGCTCACGATGCGGCCAAGACTGAAGAGAGCAAATCAACTGACGACAAGCAGCAGATACTCTCAACGGGCACGACAACTTCTCGTGTCAAAGACGCCGGAGAAATCGAGACAAACGATTCGAACCCCTGGGCTGTGCCCGTCCATTTGTGCAGCAGATGCAATGCACGCTTCCAAGATAGCGACGACTTCCAAAGCCACCAGGATTGGCATATTGCCAAGGACCTCCAGGATGAAGAACGTGGAAAGTCCGCATTCGTCCAAACACCGCCCTCCGCCTCTCATGCTGCCGGCCCCCGCAAAGCTGCCACATCCGCGAAGGGAGGTGGCCGAAGCGGCAAGCTCGAACATGGCCAACGTAAACTGAAGTTTGGCTAGGTAGCACGCACACATCATAGGCCAAGTGGTGTTAGGGATCGCCAGCGCGCCAGCCGTCCTGTCCCTCCGCTTCCATGGCTGGCCTGTAACAGTTTCGCGATCCCTGATGATCCGAAGGCGACGGCTCACAAGAGCATGGACTAAAGGGGCTGAGACCATGTCAACCACTTGACGGCCCGCGTCACAAACAAACAGTACGACCTGCACTTTTTCCACGATTGGACCCACTCCGCGGGAACCGACAGACCAGAATGGTGATGCTGAAGCGGTGGGCAGCATTGGGCATGCACGATGGCCTGAGACGCAGATGGATGGGTCTCCTCGTCCGGCCGATCTCCATGACTGGGCAAAAAAGCCTGACCTCTGCAAGCTACAGTGCGGTGACCAAGCCGGACTGCTGGCGATGAAGTCCTCGGAAAGCAGGTCCTCTGAGCTGTTTTGATTTACAGCATTTGAACAAGTTTCGAGCAGTCGTCCGCTTGCACTCCCTTTGTGTATCAGAGTCGCTGACCACGACGCCCCACAAAGAGCTTTGTTGAGAGGAACGGCAGACGGATTACAGGCAGCGCTTCCCAGTCTTGGTAGGTCAGGGTTCTGGTGCTCTGGGTTCGGAGTCGTGCGATTGCAGCTTAGGTGGAGCAGCATAGGAGAAGCCGGCATATTGGGTACATGATGACCAGCTCTTGGTGATCCTATCCCTTGTCCTGGTACGTTGCGGTGCAAGGCCTGGCCTCCGAAGTCCCCCCCGGAAGCGCCGTTTCCTGGTACCATACAAAGGCGCAGCGTCTTAATGACGATGCTTGAGAATGAGTTGCTCAGGCATGTCTGAGCATGATGGCCGTCCTATCACCGTGTGACAGTAAAACGATCGATGATTGGACGGAATTTTGGGTACTTTGAGTTGGGAGGTTGGGCCACAATCCAAGCAAGGCATTGCTACCCAACGATGATTGACGTGCCAGCCACCTGAAGGCGGGACCAGTCTGAATATTCAATCGATGGCCAGGTTTGGTCGTCAAGCCGTGTCTGTCATGTCGGTCAGCGGCAGCCGGTCAACCATTTCAAGCTACTGCACTGCACGTGCACATGATGTTTTCGAGGCAATAACATCGAGCCGCAGCGCATTGCACCACGTCGCTATCATTGTATGGGCTCCTTCTAGGCTTCGAATCGTCTGCTCGAGAAGACTATGAGGCAGAGGCGCGTCGGCGGAGCTACCCCGTTTCGTCGGTGGGGGGAGGCGCCAATGAGACGGTGATAGACAGAGAGTCGAGAAGGGGCTGGACGAGACGAGTGAGGGAAGCCAGGATGGCCCATGACCGTCAGGTAGCAAATGCCACGCTGGCTCTAGTGGCCCAGACGTTCTGTTGCAAGGCTTGGCAGAAGAAGAAGAAAAGTTTCGTTGCGAGAAGCGCGCCGTGAGGGTTTTCTACTGGTGTAGTGTTTGAGTAAGAAGCAGATTCTGCGCAGCAGAAGGTATTCGTAGTGCCACTCGAGTTACAAGAAATGGTCGCACAACGTGTCGTATTTGAATGATCAGGGTTCCTCCACCAGGGGTTTCGACGTTGAAAATGACAAAACCCAACCATACGGGGTGTGCCAGCCTGACTGCGCGTCGTAAGGGGGGGGGGGGGGGCGCCATTCATTTCTGGTCCCATTGCCATTTTGGCAAGCAGCCGACATGAAATGCCATTTTTCAAGGGCTGTTCCTAGGCCCTTCCAAGTGGATGAGACCGGGCTCGTCCTGGATCTGGGGTGAGCGTCCGTCCGAGAACTGTACACGAGGGAGGTGCCGGCTACAAAAACGACAATCACAATGTTGGATCATCGCGTACGTCACCAGGTCCTATCACCAAGACCATCGACTTTCTTTTGGGGCCAGACCGTCAGGCTGTCAAACCTGTCAGGCTCCCGAGCTTCATTCTGTTGGGCTAAACAGAGGGGACGGCAACAGGGAGACAGCCTGTCGCAGCCTCCGACGATCCCCGACGATGTCGTTTCTGTAAGTTGGAAGGGATTATGGTGGCTCATTGAAACGGATCTCGTGAACAGAGTCTTATTCACAGGAACCCATTTTTCATGAGAGACCGGGTTCGTAGGCAGGGCGAAGTGGAAGTGGGCGAGCGTGCGTGGGGAGCACGAGATGCTGTGGCTGAGAAGACGACACCCTCTGCTTTTCGGTAACGACTTGACGCAGGCATCTTGGCGTGCCGCCACCTGGGTAGGTACTTGCTGCTTCAGTTAGGGGCACTGCAACTGCAAGGCAGAAGCAGCAAAACAGATGCAGACGATAGGTAGACGCAGGGCAGGCGCACGGTTTATTAGCCAGCCAACAGTGTGCTGCCAGCGCGTCCTGACCTCCTTCACCTCCAGGGGGGGCGCTCAGTGTGTGCCTGCTGACGGGCGTGGCCAGTCATGGACCACCATTGGGACACCAGAGGCCTAAGCCGACTCGCTAATCCCTGTCATCCCTGCCCTGCCTGCCTACCTACCTGCCCGCCTGCCTGCCTCGAGCCAGGTTCATCGCTGACGCTGCACTGGCGGTGCTTCCTGCCTCCAGTTTTTGCTGCTGCCCACTGGATGTCGGTCACAGTTGACTTGCCGCTGGCCCTCAGGCCGACCCACATGGTCTTCCTGCCAGCGCAATGACTGCCCTTTTCTTCGGCCACCACCCACTTTCCCCCTCCCCTCCAAACGCTGTCTACTCCGAACCTTCGCATCTTTCTCTTTCCCAGCCCATCACCACCTACAACCACCGCCTAAGGGCTCGTTCTCCTCTTCGCCATATTGAGACGTATACGATTCATCCAGGATCTTGCCCCGATCGTCTCTTTCTTTTCGCTCTTGCTCTTGCTCTCTCTCACCCCCCTCGCCACAGTCAGAAGATCAATCAGATGGCGTCAAGGCAACCACGAGGCGGCGCGCCTCAGTCAAGCGGCGTCGGCGCTTCCACTGCCAGCAGCCGCTCCAACGAGTACTTCGTTCCGAGGGACGGCATTGATCGAGAGGTCATCACCGCCGACATCTGCCGCTACCTCGGAAACGATGCACTCGTTCGACCTGGTCACTACGAGGTACGCTCTTCCATATGGCGAGTCAGCGACAACCGTCTTCGCCGTGCATTGCACGACACGGGTCGATCTGACGGTATCGGACCTCGTGCTGACAAGCCTCCCTTCAGAACCCCCAAACAGGCCAGGCCGTCCAAGGCTACTACATCACTGCCTACCGGAATCTGACGACAGTGAGTCGTCGCTCTTCCCCCGCCCATCTTGTTGTCGGCGGGGACATACGCTGACAGGGCACAGGCTATGATTGATGATTTGAAGGCCGACTCGGCTCGGTGGGAGGCAGAACGGCGGCAGCAGGCTTCCCGCAATGCCCCAAGCACAGCAGGTACCTTGGCCTCAAAGAGTGCGAAGGGCCAGCCTTCAAGACATTCTAACTCGCCCATCCTAGGGTACCGTGACTCGGCCACCCACAATGCCCGACAGCACTTTGGCCCCACTACCGAAACCGCTGGAGGATACTCAGATGGTCGTGACCCCTATGATGCTCCCAGATACCCAGGATCCCAAGCTCCAGGCTACTCAGGAAACTCGGGCTCCTACCCGTCACAGGGCGGCGGCTCTGCGCACGCCTCCGTGCAATCCAGTTATGGCTCAACTGGTGGCTACCAGTACCCTCCCCAGAATGCTACATACTCTCCGCAGCCGGACCCAAGGTATCCTGCTTCACAGACCGCCTCGTACGGACCACCGGACATCCCATACACCAACGTCAGTGTGAACTCGGTCAACTCGGCCATGCGCCAGCAGTACAATGATCCCTATGGTAGCTCTCAAGCGGGTCAGCGCATCCCCGCTGCCACTGCGCCTGGTCCCGGGCAGGCTTATGGACAGCAGGCTGCCGCCGCTTATGGCGGTGCTCCAGGTTACTACCCTCAGCAGCAGGCTGCCGCGAGCTACGGCTCTTCTCAGGCACAGCCCCCAGACACGATATATGGTCGCGGTGCGTCTTCACCGAATCCCCTAACCTCTACCCGAAAACCGTCTGATTATGTAGCTTCCCCCGCAGGTGCATCCCAGGCCTTCAGCTCCGCCCAAGGACAACAGTATGCTTCCAATCCTACCCCGCGCGCCGCCGCTTCTTCGTCTTCCAGTACTCAAATGGCCAGCAGTGCAGCATCTCATTCTCGTCGCGAGAGGGAACCAACTGATAGGCACCGAGCCTCTCGCCGATGAGTTCGTACCGGAGCAGCTCAGACTGGTCGATTTTGGTCTCATGAGATTTCTTTCCCATGGATCTGCCCGTTTTTGACTGTGAGATCCCGTATGACCTGGGATCCCGTTCCATTTCCACGGCGTCGGCTCCCATGATCATTTGTTTCTTTCCGGATAGAAGCCAGGATTTCAGTTGTAACGTCCGTTACCTTTGGAGAATTGCTGCAAGTTTGCACCATCCGCTTCTGAGGGTTTGGTCCTCATGCCCTTCGGGTTATCTTCCTTCTCACCTTTCCCGGACAACCCAGTAATTGGACGGAGCCTTTCTCGTTTACTTTTCACTCATGCCTGGATATTTTCGCCAAGAATGGACCCAACCTGGCATACTCATGGACCTTTTGACGACTTGCATATATGGATGGGGACTACGACTTGGTATTTGCGTGGTTCGGCCGGATGAATGCCAGCCGGCAAGCTGGAGTACTTTCCGCACACTTTTTCCTTACCGCACGAACGACTTGGAGCCCGGAAAAAGAAAGAAGTTTACGACACTCTCAAATGAACCGGGGTGGTACATTTTATGTTTTATCGGAGCGCCTCGCTGTCCGAATATCCTACCCAAAACAGGACCCGTGATGTCGGTTGCCTCATGATTCTCGCCTGGGTTTCATTGACGTTCGTTCTATTTCACTGGGCTTACCGGAGTACCTGGACAATTCTGTGTTTTTGATTTGTTTCATAGAACGGTGAGGCCGACATCCGGACAGCGAGGTGAGTTCCCTGGAGCTTGTATATACTTGTGAACCTTACAAAGGACTCGTTTCATCAAACCATACAACGCCTCTCTTTCTGGATCTGCCGTGTGGACTGCAATTTCCCCCTGTTCTTTGATCATCATCGCTCCTAACTCGACAGACGTGCCGCCCATTTCTTGCTCAATCAACAGGACAGATTGCAATTTCCCTGGAAGTCGTTTGGTTCAGCATACTCCCCGGATGTATGGGGCCTATCTCCCCCCGCTCGGCCTCATCCGCCCGGCTCGTCAACTCTAAATGCCTGGCCCCGTCACCAGCAACGCCAGAAATGGGCAAATTGGCTTGGGCGGCATGCCTACCTTACAGCAGTAGCCATTGCAAAGGCAGTAAAATTGCCGTGTAACTTTGTTTCGCTGAATGCGCTGCGCAAGCCAGAGCGCGCATTTCAACTCGAGTTTACTGAACGTGGGTAAGATTGCGGGTTCGGAGGTTTGCCGACGCATTCGTCTTGGACTGTTCTCTGGTCTCTTACGGGTGGGTCGTCTCAAGCCTGGCCGAACATGCTGAACACGACGCACAACCCCCCGAGCCTGGTTCAAGACGGGACTGAGCTGTTCCTCCCACAAGTCGAAGCGAGTCTGGACCGCAACGCAGCCCGGGACGGCCACAATGTGAATTGAGCCATCAATTTCGTCGGGATGATTCTGTACCACGGATGGGACGCCTATCAATGATTCATGCCTTGCCTCGGCTCTTCGATCCAGCCCTACGCAACCGCACTCGTCAAAACCGGATCGATGAATCTTCGAATGACACGGAACAGTAAAGTAAGCCGCATTCTACCTCCGCATGGATCTCTGGACTGGAAGTCGTTACCTAAGAGCGCACACTGTCCCCTGTTGGAGGGTGCTGGCATTCAGTATCGGAGCATGATGCTCAAGATGTCACGCCGAGCATCATTGACACTACCCATGAGGAGGAGGATGTGTGAAGATAGCGGGCTTGATTTGATAGGAAATGGAGCTTCATTTATCGATTCATACGACCTGCAAGCACTGTGCATGTAAACTATAACCAAATTTGGAGCCCATTCGAGGCCACTGAGCATGGCATGACTCCTGAGAACCTACGGCTAGTTCAAAATGGAGTACAAATGATGCACGTTAGTATCAGCTATGCGATGTGACACAGTACCTCATGGGCTGACCACCCTTGGTTTGATGCACAGGCAAGATTTAAGAGCAGGAGATGAGTACCAACGCTGGTACCCGACGACTTTTGATGTGCCAAGTACAGCAGGTCTGGGGAATGGCAAGGACGACTGGCGAATTGGCCATTTCGAACCCACCAAGGTGAGGGATAGATGTAACACCCACGTGGCAATACGCTTGATCACAGCTGCTTTGGCTTTGTCGTCCTCTTACATTCTACGCTCACACAAATATGGCTTCTATCATGTGCACACAGAAAGCGGAGGGCAGCAGGCAGAATGAGGGCAAGAGGGCGGAACACCCTTGTCGGGAGAGATGGGCGTGCCAGTGTCATGCCCCGCTGCCCTGGCGGTGAAAAGATTGTGTGGCCCAAGGGCGCCAGCGAAGAATCCAGTCTGGGCGGGGGTGGAGAGTCACAGGAAAGGCAGGCGGTCAGGGTAGAGGCAAGGCAGGTAAAAAGGGGATCATTGCCGGGCCGCCTGGGCGAGGTGGAGACTGGAATCGGCAGATGCGTGGAATGCTTCTCTGCCGCTGCTGTGCGTACCCAATGCAGTAGGCACATCGAGCCGGCTATCAGATGTTGATAGTTGCGCATTCAGGTCGGTCGCCCTACCTCTGAGTGACGATGACTCAGGCTCTCATCTGCAATACGGAGGAGAGGGAGCCTGATGGAATGGAGGGTTTAAGTGGCAGGCAGTGTGGGTAGCTGGATGTGCGTGTGTACCTCAGTCTCAAGATTGGGGGAGGGGGGCCGTCACCCCCCACTGCATGTGTTGTCATGCCCTGTTTTCTGGGCAGCATAATGGCAAGGTCAGTTTGCTAGTGACGATTCAAGTCTGGACATGCCACGGTCTCTTTTGGTATGATGGCAGATGCCCATACGATTGATCCAGTCAAGGAACAGGGCGTTGAACACGGCATCTACATCCTGTTGAACCTTTGGCAGATGAAAGCCAGGAGCCTTGGGTAGCAACAAGCAGGGACATTTAGGGGGCAACCTTTACCGTGAAAGGTTGCGAGCGCAGCTGAAGCACACCGCCCACGCCATATCGGACTACTTAGACCCGTCCACATTCGTCAACCACCAAACTTCATGGCCCCTCGCTTTCAGCCCGAGTGGACGGGTACGAGTCGCCAAATCCATCGGCGGCTGGTTCAACTGGGGATAGGTATTTGCACTAATCGAGCAGACGCTTTTGGTCAGCGCTGAATGGGCAAGAGAGACCCCAAAGCGAAGCTGAATTCACAACACGTTTGGCCAGTGTACCTGTGACGTACCCTGTCAATGTTGACGTGAGGTACCGGCGTTTTCTCATTGCTCGTCTACCAATTGTGCCGGGGCTGGTCCCTGTTGTGCTACCATCGGTGTTGAGACGAAGTGATAAACATGTGCTTCTGTTAAATGGAAGGGGGAATTGATGAAAAAAAAAAAAAAACCTAGACAGTACTGGTGCGGTTTGCAGTATCGGTCGAGGACAAGCCTGAATATCTACAGACCGCAAGACGCTGGAAGGTGTAGGTACCTGAACATCTGTTCCCCTCGCCGTCACGCGCTCAATCCGCTACAGAGCCCAATAACAGTGGGCGTGGCCGGCTGCTGACGCGGATCCCTACAGGTGTCTTTCCTTCTGAAGCCCTCCATAAGCCTGCCGCCTATTAGGTGTTCTCCACCCCCCTCTTTGTAGTTTAGGTTCCCTGTCGTCCTTGCCTGCCTCGTTTGCCCTGTCTGGGGAGGTCAAGGTACATGTCGGACAGCGTTCTGGTGCAGCACCGCACAAGTACCCCCATCGCCCTCAACCCTGGGATCCCTGGATTCTCTGAATGCCCCGCCATTTACTCGACGCACCGCACCCCGTGCTTGCTCGCCGCCCAAAATTTTGTGACTATCGCCGCACGACCATCTCGCACCCGACCATAATCCATCCTCTTCTGGAGACCCCCCCCCCCCCTCCCCTCCTTCACCCCTCCAACATCGCTCCTTTCAGAAAGACCCGTCCAGAAACCCGCCCACGATGGACACAACGGCGATCCGCGGCCTCCTCCTGGCCAGCTTGGATCCCGATGCCGACACCAGACGGAGGGCTGAGTTGCAGCTGAAGCAGGTATGCGCCCGCCCTGACCGACATCAACAAAACCCCCCCTTCGCCCCTCCTCCCCTCGGGACCCGCGACGCGATGAGTGGCAACGGCCCTTGTCGCGCTCACAAGACCATGCATTATGGCCTGTCACCATGTTGCAGCTCGCTGACGCTTTTCGTCCTTCGTGTAGATTGAGGAGCAGCCCGGTTTTATGGACGTGGCCCTCGATATCCTTCAGGCAGAGCAAGACAACAGTGTGCGACTATCGAGTAGGTTCTCCTCTGACATCATGCCCCTCCGTCCTTGACGATTCGGAATCTTTGTTTCTTGGACTGCCTTGCCCCTCTGTGTTGTGCTTTCTGACATTGTCTGCTACTTCCAGCTGTCATCTACGTCAAGAACCGAGTCAACCGATCATGGGCGAAAACCGACCAGTACGCCAGCGAGGCCTTGATACCCGAAGATGAAAAGGCGCGCTTCCGCGATCGGCTACTTCCCATCATGGCTGCCTCCCAGGGAGGTGTGCGCCAGCAGCTTATTCCTGTGCTGCAGAGGATCCTGCACTTCGACTTTCCCGACAAGTGGCCCAATTTCATGGACTACACCACGGAACTTCTCAACACGAATAACGCCCCCTCTGTCCTTGCTGGCCTCCAGTGCCTGCTCGCCATCTGCCGCGCCTGGCGTTTCCGATCTTCCGACAATGAAAGCCGTGTTCATTTTGATAAGATCATTGAGCTCAGCTTCCCCCGCCTCCTGACCATTTGCAATGAGCTCGTCACACAAGAGAGCGATGAGGCCGGCGAGATGCTGCACCTTGCCCTCAAGGCGTACAAGCACGCAACCTGGGTAGGCAGCCCTTGCCGTTTTCCCCTTCTTTTTCTCCGCCGTGGTTTCTCTCTCGTGCACCAGGCTAACCATGGCTGCAGCTCGAGCTGTCCGCCTTCCTGCGCCAGCAGCAGAACAACATTGCGTGGTGCACCGTCTTCCTGAACACCGTCTCCAAGGCCATTCCCGCCAGCGCTATGGTAGAGGACTCTTTTGATCGCGAGAAGCATCACTGGTGGAAGGCCAAGAAGTGGGCATACTTCAACCTCAACCGTCTCTTTATCCGGTAAGCAAGCCGCCCCCTCCAGCGTACTTGGTCATCGCAGGGCCAACTAACCCTTGCAGACACGGCAACACACAGTCAGTCGCGGGTTCCAAGGATGACGGCCAGATGCAGTTCGCGAAGGAGTTCTCTACAACGATCGCTCCGGAGATCTTAAAGCATTACCTCGCGGAGATTGAGAAATGGGTGGCCAAGACAGCCTGGCTGAGCCGACCATGCCTGACCTATACCCTCGTTTTCCTTGACGAATCTGTCCGTCCCAAGGAGATGTGGGATCACCTCAAGCCGCATTTGCAGAACCTTGTTACCCACTTCGTATTCCCTGTGCTTTGCCTGTCCGAGGAGGATGTTGAGAAGTTCCAGGAGGAGCCCGACGAATATCTCCACAGAAAGCTCAACTTCTACGAGGAGGCTTCTGCGCCCGATGTCGCCGCCACGAACTTCCTGATTGGCCTCACCAAAAACCGCAGGAAGCAGACATTCGAGATTCTCAAGTTTGTCAACGCCGTCGTGAACGAGTACGAGCAGGCGCCCGACGACAAGAAGAACCACATCGCCAAGGAAGGTGCTCTGCGGATGATTGGGACCCTGGCGCCTGTCATCCTGGGCAAGAAGAGCCCCATCGCCGACCAAGTCGAGTATTTCCTCGTGCGATACGTCTTCCCCGACTTCACCAGCTCCCAGGGCTACCTGCGCGCTCGCGCCTGCGATACCGTGGAGAAGTTTGAGCAGCTCAACTTCCAGGACCAGAACAACCTGCTCACCATTTACCGCCATATCCTTGACTGCATGGCCGACCCTGATCTGCCTGTTCGAGTAACGGCCGCGCTGGCCCTCCAGCCTCTCATTCGCCACGACATCATCCGAACCAGCATGCAGCAGAGTATCCCTACCATCATGCAGCAGCTTTTGAAGCTCGCCAATGAGGCCGATATCGATGCCCTTGCGAACGTCATGGAGGACTTTGTCGAGGTCTTCGCCACAGAGCTGACGCCCTTTGCTGTGGCTCTCAGCGAGCAGCTTAGGGACACGTACCTGAGGATAGTTCGTGAGGTCCTCGACAAGAACCGCAACGAGGGCGGCGATGACGATTTTGGCGACTATCTTGATGAGAAGTCCATCACCGCGCTGGGTGTGCTGCAGACCATTGGCACTCTCATCCTGACGCTGGAGAGTACCCCCGACGTTTTGCTTCACATTGAGGCCATCCTGATGCCCGTCATTCAGGTCACCCTCGAGAACAAGCTCTACGACCTTTATAACGAGATTTTCGAGATCATCGACAGCTGCACCTTTGCTGCCAAGTCCATCTCGCCGACAATGTGGCAGGCTTTTGAGCTCATCCATGCGACCTTCAAGGCTGGCGCTGAGCTTTATCTTGAGGACATGCTGCCTGCCCTCGACAACTTTGTCCAGTACGGTGCACCGCACCTCATCCAGAAGCAGGAGTACGTGGAGGCGCTGTTTTCCATGATTTCGGACATGTTCTCCGACGCCAAGGTTGGCGGCGTGGACCGCATTTGCGCATGCAAGCTGGCCGAAGCCCTCATGCTGAATCTTCGTGGCCACATTGATAACTATGTGCTTCGCTTCATCGAGTTCGCCATGTCGGTCCTGACGGCTACAGATGTCAAGATCAAGGCGTACAAGATTCACCTCATGGAACTGGTCATCAACGCCATTCACTACAACCCTATCCTGACTCTTCAGTTCCTCGAGGCCAAGGACTGGACCAACCGCTTCTTCAGCCTCTGGTTCGGCAGCATGTCCACCTTCTCCAGGGTCCACGACAAGAAGCTCTGCATTGTCGCCATCTCTGCCCTTCTCAGCCTCCCCCCTGACCAGGTTCCACAAAGCGTTTCCGTCGGATGGCCCAGGCTGCTGCAGGGAATCACGGAGCTGTTCAAGACCCTGCCCTCCGCTATGAAGAGTGAGTTGACTTGACACGCTTGCTGAACCTCCTGACTGACGATGAAGCAGACCGCGAGGAGGCGCTCAGGGATGACTACCACCTCGAGGGCAACTACGAGTACGGTGACGACGACGATTGGGGAGACGATGAGGCCAACTGGAACGCCGAGGAAGGCCCCGAGGCCGAAGAGACTGGCGAGGCCCGCGACGAGAGCACGGCATATCTTGAGTTCCTCAACGATGAGGTGAGCCCGAAGCACGCTACTGCGCTTTCACACTTTGGACAAGACTGACGGATCGCATAGGCACAAAAGTTCAGCCGCGGCCTCGAGGAAGCTGAGAGCGAGGATGACCTTGGTGAAGACAGCGTGCTGCTAGAGTCGCCCCTCGACAAGCTCGACCCGTATCAGTTGTTCAGCGGTACCCTGATGAGTATGCTCCCCTTCCACCGTGCCTACCAACCCCCAAAAAGGCCGGCTATGATACTGACATTTTGGTAGAACTTGAGTCTGAACAGCCCCAGTTCTACGCATCACTTGCGTCTCACCTATCAGCGGAAGACCAGGCGGCCCTCCAGGGCATCATGGCGAAGGCCAGCGAAAACGCCCAAGCGCAGCTCATCGCGCAACAGCAGGTCGCTGCGACGGCTAACGGAAGCGTGGCGTAGTAATGTAGCATGCAACATGAAGCCTGGGTCTTGCACAGACACCGTGCTGGATGGCATTGCGTTCCTCGCATAACACGCCGCGGCGTTGGTGGCTCACGGCAAGGAGAGCACGGCGTTTTTGGTTCAGACGGCGATTGTGAGCTCCTCTCATACACGCCTTCTGATGCCCCTCGACGTCTGGTCCTACAGTCGTGCAAGGGCAAAAAGGGGGGAAACCGGCATGCCTAGTGCGCTGCAGGCGTCCGTGGACTATTTTTAGGTGGTACAGTCCCCGGGGGGCAAAAAACACAAGCCGCAGAGAGCGGATTGGTGATTCCTACGACGGGTAAGCAACGGAGAGCCTTTGCCTCACGCGAAATGATCCTGTTGGATTGTGTTATCGTCCGTTGCGTTAAGGTGTGAAGAACTGATCCCCACGTCGTCGAGGGTCCGAGGATGGCTGAGTAGTAGGAAAAAACGTGCAAGAAAGCAAGATAGAGACAGTCTTCTTGTGTCCGCTTCTGCCTAACAGAATGTCAACATGGGGCCGGAAAGATGTGCGACCCGGCCCCTGGTTTTGGAATTGTCGTGCCCAATGAAGAATT